AAATTCGTGAAGTGTTATCACGCGGGTCAGGTTGTTTCTGCATGTTTCTTGATTAAGTTTGACATTTTTAGACTCCAAAATACCATCGACAATTACTTTACGACTCTGTAAAAAAGGTTTGACCTTTTGTTGGGGAACAAACTTGTGGGTGTTTAGTCCTCAAATGTTTGACCAAGTAACTAGTTCCATCTGTAGGTCTTGCCGATAAAGAATGCAAACAATAGTTAAACTTTGCTTTATGTTGACCATTGATTAAAACCTTATCATAATATGCCCAAACTTTTGAGGTGCATTTTCTCTTTTTAGTCTTAGGTAATAGTCTAAACTTAGATGAAAGTGGCTGTTCGATATCAATAATTGGAGTGATAGCATTTGCGTTTTCTACCTCTGACATATCTGTAAAAAACAAATGAAATAAAAAAAAAAGTATTTTAAGAAAAATAATGGTTTTGAATTTTTTATAACTTTTTATAGTCTTTTTCTTTGACGCAAAGAAATTTTTGAAACTAAAAATAAAGCTTATATAAGATAATTTTTTGGTGAGACAACTTTTTTTAAACAATTGGGTTGATATAATTTCAGAAAGTCATCTTTAGATGTGAATTTTTACAAGATGTCTCTTTGTGAATAATAGAACAAAAAGCAATCCATTAATAAAAAACTTAATGTTAGGATTCTCGTTATAAAAAACACTCTAAAACCTGTTTTTCACTTGTTAAAGACAATTACCAAATTTAAGACAATTTTAGACAGACAAATACCAAATTTTAATTTAACTTGAAAAGTCTTTTTCTCAAAAAAATCTTTTTTAAAAGAGTGCATAAAATTGGGTTTTATAATCTGGTTTATGAAACTTTTTGAATATTTCAGAAACCATTGTTGGCTTTCATCGGCACTAATATTAAATAAGATATAATGAAAAAAGTATAAAAGAAAATTATTGTGGGGTCTGGGTATAACAGGTCTCGACATTATAAGATCCATACCCGACTCATTTGGTTAACTGGTTTGACTGGTCTGGGTCTTGCGAGTTTCGGGTCCGATAAATGAGACCCAGATCCGGACTTAACGGGTCGGGTCTGGGTCTAGACGCGACATATTACCACCCCTGTTTATACTTATGTCAAATAAGGATGCTTTGCAAAAAATTGTGATGATTGGACCCTGTGAACTAAAAGCACCAAATTTTTGCCCTCCCCCTCCTCTTCCTCCAAACGTGAGAACAATAAGTTGATAAAATATTTTTTGTACTATTCTTAATAAGACTTACATTTATCGATAAATTTTAAGTTTATAGCATATTATTTGAGCGTTTAAAAAATATGACCATATATGGTTTTGAGGGGTTTTCAAGTATATGGTAATAATTTTTAAACGCTGAGAGATCATTATATGAAACTTATAATTTATTGATGAATATAAGTCTAATTAAAAATAGTAAAAAAAATATTTAATCAACTTGTTGCTTTCACATTTGGGGCAAGGTGGGGTAGGGAAAGTTTTGGGGCTTTCATGTTTCCAGACTCCAACCATCGCAATTTTTTGCAAAGTATTCTTAATTTGCAAATGGGCCCCTAAATTTGCAAATTGACCCCTTGATTCGCTAACTCCCCCCTCCCACTTGAGGAGCCTAGTTACGGCTCTGTATTATACAGAGCCGTGGCTAGTAGGGTGGAGTGAAAAACTTTTTTTCCTAAATGAATTCTAATAGTTACCAAAAGTTGTCACTTGGGTAGGTGTCTTGGCAAAAAAAAAATTCTGTTTTGGATGATGTCTTCTGTCCTTTACCAGCAATTTCATTTTGGAAAATTCTGATTTTTTTGTAAAATAATTTTTCCCAAATGTCTTATAATAGAGTGTATTATAAAATTGAAAATTATATTCAAATCCAAGTCTAACAATATAAAAATAATTAAAGTATTCAAAGGATTGATAAAGTTGTGATTTTTCAAAGAATTCATACTCAGCAATAAGTCTCAAATGTTCGTAAATCGTTATAATTGACATAACTCAGAAAACCTTAGAATGTTTATATTAAATGACATGTATTTAAATTAATGTGTTGATAAGAATGTTTGAATTTGCATTCTAGTCATTGTAGTATTTTGAAAATTTAAATGAATGATGTATTACTTTGGATTTTTTTTTTTTAAATTCCAATTTTTAAATTAAACAAAATAAAGCGCTATATCATTTTAGTTTCTAAAAAGTATATAAATTATCAAGTCATATTTACTCTATATCTATACTACAGAATACGTTTGTTTTTTCATTTTTTATGTATAAATAAATGTCTTTGTAAAATCATTGCTGTTTAGATATACCCTACTATAACATTACTACCATTAGACTACCGAATTTTTTTTCAATTGTTTGCATTCAATTAGGTTCAGTAAAATTAACCAAACTCCATAATTTGAGATATTTAAATGATAAAACAAATTCAAGTGTAACTTCTATTGCTCGGTAAATATTTTTTTGTTCACATAATTTTTTATTTTGCTTGTGAGTACATGACATCAACAATGGAGTTGCATCGAGAAAACCTCCTGCTTGTCCTATTTTTTTCCAATCTAAAATTAATGAAGTTAAGCTTGTTTCCAACACAAACAGATATGTTTATGAAATACATGTGGTTTTGAAATGACTTGAAAATTGAGAGGGTCCACAAAAAAAACCTACCGCCTTAAAGGTATTGGAAATTCTTGCATCCAAAGTCAATAAAATATGGTATCGGGCAAGTATTACGAATATTTCAAAAACTTTTGTTGTGCAAATTATCAATTCCCATCATGAAATCTATTTAAATCTGGTTGGATACCAAAAATCTAAAAGAAATGCTTAAAATAAAGCTAGAATATCAGGTTTTTGAGAAGGTTGAGCGCCCATTGCAATGGTTTGTTTGCATGCTACATGCAAACTTCTGTTACGACAAACCTTTAAAATTCTTGATGGAGCCACCATAGGGCAACAAAGTTTTTTTGGCACATTATTGTTGTATACCAGTAAGCACATTATTGACAAACTGTGAGAATTTGCCCGTGGTACAGTTTTCAAAAATTGAATGTAATTTTCAGGCTGTGGGCATTGCTAATCTTAAATCAGATCAACAGTACTTAATGATATTTGTGTTGCTGTTAATAGTGGTCTCTGTCCACCATCTCTGTCTCAAGGAAACCAGGAAAACTTGTTATGTCTAGCTGGGTTACACTGGTTAATAGAGTTCTAAGATTGTATATTGCTACACTACATCCAGTTAATAATCTGAAAGTAGCTGATAATCTGAAAGTAGAATTCATAATGAAAGTTTATGCAACAATGTGGTTTACGATTAAACCAAAACCATTATGCAAGAACGGTGCTCGCCACTTATAGATGTCAATTCATAAAGCACGCTATTTACCAGATAATTTTAACATCATTGTTGATCCAGTACTTCAACGTAGTAGGTTTTTTGATCACCCTGAGAATATGCTGCTAAGTGTAATAACTGACAATAGGAGGCATGTATGAGAGCTGAGATTGTGGCGAATAATGCAAGCTTTAGCAAAAAAGCAGCCGAAACAACCAAAAAATGGAATCAGGATGTTTCAGGTACCAACTTTCAACATAGATTGTGAAGTTTACATTCAGGTAACTGCCTAGCAATCAGGCACAGTAACCGTACCACCTGTTACAAAATTTTTGTCTAATGATGATTTGGAGTCATTTTTTAGCTATAGGGAAACACCATTTATTAAATTTCCTCGTTTTCCATGCCACAGGCAGGCAGTTAAAAGATGCATAAAAAATGTTACCGAAGCTTAAAAGGCAGCCATGAAGCACAAAGCTTCAGATGGTTTCCTTCGGACAAGAAATGATGTAAGAAATAGTAATGCCTGTGTTCAACACAAAACAAGAATACTTCACAGTGCGACAAACTGACTTTAACATTTTAGGGCTATATTTTAAAAAACTAAACCTTGTGAACAGAAGCTGCTTAACTAAATTTTTATAATTTTTATCATATTTCATGCATTCATGGCCTGTGACTTTTTAAATTTTCAAAATGCTACAATGACTAGAATGCAAAATCAAACATTCTTTTCAAAACTTCAGCTTAAATACATTTTCAAAGAATTTTTGAGTTATGTTAATTATAATAATTTTTGAGCAATCGAGACTTATCACTTAGTATGAATTCTTTGAAAAATCACAACTTTATTAATACTTTGATTATTTTAACGATTTTTATATTGTTAGACTTGGATTTAAAATGTACTTTCCAATAGTATAAAACACTCTATGATAATACATTTGGGAAAAAAGTTATTTTGCAAAAATATCAACTTTTTACAAAAAAATCAAAATTTTTTAAAATTAAATCGCCGTTAGAAGACATAAAAATTTAGAGGGCGACAACTTTTGGTAACTATTAGAATTCATTTAGAAAAAAAAAAATTTCACTCCACCCCAGTGGCTAGGCAACCCAAGTGGGAGGGGGGGGAGTCAGCAAAATAAGGAGCCTATTTGCTAATTTAGAAAAAAGTTATAAATATAAACAGTAAAGAAGCAAGTTATAAATATATACAGTTTATATATTTATAACTTGTTTAGTTTTTTACAATTTTTTTTTACCTTTCTTATTTATTTCTATCTTAAATAAAAGAATTTGTGAATAATTTCTTCCCATAGGTAGATTAGTCCGGAGAGGAAAAAAATAAGCGGTTTTAAAACGAATGAAATTTTTATATAAATATTTATAGATTCAAAAAACCGTCTTGATATAAAAGTTATGTTTTGGCTATTGGATTTTTTTTTTACCAGAAAAAGGCGCATATTTATCCAAGAAAAATATGTATCAGTTTTTTTGGTTTATGATTAAAAAAATTATTATTTAAATTAAAGAATTTTACAATTAATTTCATTCAATTTTTTTTTAAATTACTCTATTTAGCAACACATTCTTTATTCTGTAAAATGCGAAACTTTTAAATCATGTTAATCATGATACTGACCAATCATAAAATCGGTAGAAAACAACTACCCGCGAAGTAAATCTAGTGTTTTGGTGATCATAATAAAATTCAACCGCTTTTATATAGGTTGCTTCATGTAGAGTTGAAGTATGAAAGAAACTACAACTCAAAATAGTAAATTGCATATTCAGGAAAGAGTAAGTATCTGTAAATATTCATCATCTTTACGTATACATTATCTAATACTGTTAATCCAAGTATTTTCAAATAATAAAAATGTAAATAATAAAATAATTAGGTTTTAAAATTGTAAGCCTTATAATAAAGTGCTTTGAATTAGCATTTGAGAAGTTAGATTTTATCAAATAAAATAATTTTATATAAAGTTACGAATTGAAATTAACGAATTTTTAAAAAGACTTTAAAAAAACATCACTAAATTAACGAACGCTTTAATTATTTAATTGTCATTTGTAAATTCTTATTCACAACACATTACAAGTAATATGAAAAAGTTTATGCTCATTTCTGTCGTAATTATTTATTTTGCAAGGCAGTGACAAACCTAAAGTTTATTAACTCTACTCAACTTACTTACCCCCCCCCCCCCCCCCCTGTTTTTATGATTGATTTTTATAGAGTACATTATACTGATTCTAAATCATATAAAAACATAGGTCTGAAAACTTAAGGAAAGTACTCTAATTTAATGTTAAAGTATAAAAACGCTAATATTCCACCGCTTTTTAAAAAAATTTTAACACTGTTTTTAAAATTTAGGAAATTTATTTTTTAACTAACGACCCAGTTTTTATTGTCATTTTCATATTTTAAAAATGTACATACATGTCGTTTTCATATTTTAAAAATGTACATACATACATTGGCTTAAACAAAAGTACATGCATCAACTGACTAATAGGGATTGGCGTAAATAAATGTACATATATCTACTGACAAATAGGAATTGGTGCAAATAAATGTACATGATTTGGGTCAAGGTTTGGTTGGGGCAGGTAATCAATAAGAAATGTGTTTTAAATTTAAGTGTCTATAGAAACCAGGGTTTTTTAAAGTTGTTATTGAAAAAGAATTTTATCATAACCAAGTATGACAAAGATGGCTAATATTTATAATCAGTATTATGTGCTCTATAAAAATCAATCATAAAAATAGGGGGGGGGGGGAGAAAGTTGAGTAAGAACCAAGTTTATTAAGAAATACCATTTTTTTCCAGCTGTGCAAAGAGTGAGTTTTCTTGTGGTAGTCTTTCCCCTTCCCCTCTCCCAATTAAAAACAGTGCCACAATGATTTTTAAATATCATTCTGTTTGTGTTCATCTTGTTTAATTTTATCTGAAGATAAGAATTTGCTTTAAAATAACATCTCCTTGTAAAAAGTATTTCTCTGAATACATGTAATGTAGTGGTGGATGAAAGTACATGCTTCTTTATTCATGCTAAGAAAAAACTATTTTCTTTTCATTTAACTTTTACTAAAGGATAATAATTTTCACAGTGCTTATTAATTTTGTTTCGGTAAGTTATAGCGGGGTTGAATAGGCTAGTGTAGGGTTTAAGCACGCCATTTTAGGTAAAAACTTAATGCTGTTTGATATAAACCCCTTACAAAAATTCAAGATTTAGCTTTCTCTTTTCTTTTTTTTTACTATTTTTTTCTTTATTTTTATGATGCCTTTTATTTCCATCAACAAAGTTCGATACAAGGGAACAAAGCAGGTTATATGTTCAAAAAATTAAAATAAAACATCTACAACATGTAATCTATTTGAAAATTATATACGCCAATATAAAAAAAGAACAATTTTTTAATTCAATTCAAGTTTGTAAAATCTAAAGGTCTGAAAGAATAGCGGTCAATTAGCTGAGTTGCCACTTTTTTTTTCATGGACCTTTTTATTTTTTTGTTAAGGAAGTGTGCCCCCCCCCCCTTTCCATTTTAAAAACCGTGTTGTTGTCGCTGAACTGCGCTGTTAGATGACAATAAACAGAAGTATAACTTAGCTAATAGAAAAATATTTGGAAAATGAGCTTTATTAAATTTCCATAATTTCTGCCAAAATTTTACACACACTTTGAATAATTATTATCAATATCATCAGATAATGATACATTGGATTCTGATAAACAAGTGGAAAATTATAGCAAAAAAGAAGATTAATCTACTGATGGTAAAGAATGAAGTCATATTTTAGATTTATTTATTGGTATTATTAACTTTTTATTAATTTTCTATATAAACTTATTTATAAATATATAAATATACTATAAAAATAGATTTAAAAATGATTTGCTCTCTTGTTGTATTGAGAAATAATGTACAATTTTGTAAACCCAATTTAAAAAATTTAAATTGGCTTGATTACTACATGGTTATTAAGACTCAAATTTTTACTTTTGTTCACTTTTTATTAAAAACAGTTGATTTATAATTACTAATAAGGAAATGTTAGCGTTGCTCTAGATAAATATTTAAAATTGTTCTATCTTTCAAAAAAAAGTTCATTATACATTCAATTGTCTTTAAATTGAGTTTAAAATAATAATATGTTTAATTCATTTATATCATTATTATATTATTAATTGAATTAATAATGATAATAAGTTTTAATTTATTTTTTTAAATCTAATGTTCCATTAGTAATTAAACAACAGTTTTGAATAAATTCAATGAGCACATAATTATTTTTCAATTATCATCCTGAAGAAAAAATAAGCTTGCTAAAATAAACAAATTATTTCTTAGTTTTTTTCTTATTTAAAACCAAAATTTTTTTAATAAAAAAAAAAAGAAAAATATTTATTATTTTTTGAAAGCAGGTCTGGGTTCTTCTCTGCCAAGCAATATATATATTTAAAAAAACACAATGTATTTTTTATATATTAGTATAAGTTTAAAAAATAATTTTTAACATATACTAATAGCATAAAGTTATAAATAGTATTTTATAACAAGTATTATTCAAATTAATTTATTATTATAATGTGCAGTTGATTTTTCTACATAAGGTTATGTATGTGCGGCTCTATATATGTGGCAACATTCCTAAGAATAAGAAAACTTTGTGGACAAGTGTATGATGAGCTTGTAATTCCTTCATTTTTTTTTTTTTTTTTTTTTTTTTTCAAACAAGGTTGAAAAATCACCTTGTTAAAAAAATAATTGTACCATGAGTTTGAATGAAAATTTTTTAATAAAAAAATTTTTATGTTGATTTATGAAAATTTTGAAATACTGGTATTTAAGAATCTAGATTTAAAATTTCCAAAATACATTTTAGCTAAAATGTTTTAGAAAAGTATATTACTATCAGCATTACTTTTTTTTTAATCTTGGTCTCAAAATTCTTTGTGAGAAATTAGGCTCTATGTAAAATAGTAGGCCTTATAATAATAGTTGGATATTATCAACTGACACACACAGGCATGTTTGCACGCACACGCGCGCACAGAGCCATTTAAGAGATGCAACCATCAGTCAAGACAAAATAGCTTATTCTTATTTATAAGTGATTACTAATTGGTTGTGAAGTGTAAAGGATCCTAATTGTCAATCAATTTAGCTCAAGTTTTTTATTTTATTTTTAATTTAAATCATCTTTTTAGGAATCCACAATGTTTACTCGAAGCAAAAATCAACGATCCTTAATTGCAAAACAAAAACCTGCTAAACGGAGTGTATCTGACATTTCTCCAAATAAAGCTATAGAAACTCGAAAAAGAACTGCATTTGGTGACATAACAAATGTAAGAGTTTTTGTTTGTTATACTTAGATAAAAGTTTTTTTTATTTTTTTTTTATTTAATTATTTAAAGTTGTATTAGCAGTCAAAATAAATAAGTGCAAATGTAGTGCTTAAATAAATGCTTGCTTCAATTATTAACTTTTTATTTAATTATATCAGAACATTTTATGTAGTTTTATATTTAAATCAGTTTATCGTAGTATGTATGTATGTAATAATTTTAAAATATTTTATTATTACATTGTCATATATCATTAGAAAGAGGTTTATTTTCAATATAGTCAGTAAATTAACAAATAGGAAATAAGGTACTTCCAACTCTTGAAAAAATAGAGCTTGTCGAAATTAAATGATTAAGGTTACATATCTTTGATACTAATGTACTTCACGAATAGGAGCAAATTTTTTAAAACTGATAAAGTAAATAAAAATTTAAATAACTATCAACAAACAAATAATTTAAATGTGCATCCAGTTTGTTCCTATTCTAGTATGTCCCCTGATTGAAAATATATATAAAAAACATTTTTGGACTTCAATTTCAGCATTATGTAAAATTCTGGTTTTTGTTAAAAATCAAAGTTAATTTGCCTCTTAAAAAATAATTTTTAGCATATAGTATCCATCCATATCAGGTGATGTAAAACTGACTGCTATCCTTTCTATAGAAACAGTTATATTTAAATCTTCAATCTGTTTCACCCGTTTTCTATCAGAATGAACACAGAGCTTCTTTCCCTTCAGAGTATTAATTTTTTGCCTGAGGTTGTATCCTAACATCTTAATCTTCCTTAGGCTCTTTATATGGACTTTATTTCTTGATAGATTATTGTTTTCTAGATTCACACCAGCTTTACTGTAGATTACACCTACTAATAAAGTTTATGGGTATATACCTATACTCTATCAAGAAGAAACCATACGAATCTTAAATTTAGGTCTAAATGAATGGAAAAAATCATTAAGTTCATAAGATATTGTTGCTTTTATTGTCATATCACCTTTACATCTTGCCTCATTAATCCTTCTAAAATGAGTTTGTTTATTTTCCACTGACTTCTGAAATGATTGGTTCAGCTTTTCTGTAATATACATGTTTCTCTCCATTCTGACCTAGATTGAACTGATTATTCTCCTCTTTGGCATTCTCAGAACAAAAGGGATCCTGAAATACTTTCTGTTTAAACTTTAGTATAATAATATTAAAGAGTGTGTTACTCTCTTCTAAAAAATCTCAGGCCTTGTTTTAAATAAAAAAATGCTTAATGCAATAGCCTAACGTGAATTTGGTGTTATGAAATTCTCTTTATTTTTTTATTTTTTAAAGACATTAATTTTTTTAAATTACTGGAAGAATATTAATTACCGCAATATGAGTTAAATATTATTTAATTTCTTTTTCCCAATGCTTTCATTAACTCCTTGTCTCTGTTTGTCTGTGAGCATCAAATCTTGTAATCACTTTTTGAGTCACTTCCTGATGATAGATTTTCTTTAAATTTTGCATACATACTCTTGCTTGATGACAATACAATATTCAGTAATTAGTTTTGCAATAAGTCAATTAATTTAGCTAATTTTAATTAAGTTAATTGGAAAGAAGAAGAATATTTTTTAAAATAAGTATTTTATTTGTTTTCCACATAAATGCATGTTTAGCTTATTTGGATATGTCATTAACGTAATGTCTGGTTCGAGACCTGCCTCTCCTGAATTTTTATGTTTTTTTACACACGCATACAGCCGAATGTTAATACAATAAAATAGTAGTATCAGAAAAAATTTATTGCAAAAATTGTGTTTTAATAGCATATAATAGCATTTAAGAAATAATCATTTAAAAAGTTAATTTATTTACTTTATTTATTAAAAGTTTAATATTTTATTAAAGATTTTTTGTGAAAACAAAGATTATTTTTTTAAATTCATTTATTAAAATTATATTGTTGTATATATCATATATTGAAAAATAATCACTGTGCTTTAACTTGTGTTATAAAAAAAAATGCTTAACTTACGTTTTGTGCAAATTTTTGATGCAGCCATTTATTTAAAATTTAATTTTTAGTAATAAAAAAATGTTTAGGAAGGAAAATCGAAAAAAAAACTTTTTTTTGGTTTTCCTTTCTAAGGATTGCGATAAAAATAAGCTAACTTTTTTTTAAGAATGAATAGAATTTAAATATTGTACAATATTTAAAAATATTTTTAGATAAATTTGACAGTTTAGTTAAACCCAACCATTAATTTCAATTTTAATAAACTTAAATATATTTTTTAAATCTAAATTAAATTATATATATTTTATCAGAATAAAATTATACATTTTTATTAAATTAGTTATAAATTAAATCATATTTTTCATCAGAATTAAATTATTTTATTATGATCTTTGCTTTCCAAGCAAAAAAAAAAAAAAACAATCATTACAATGAAATAAAAACAAAATAAAAATACATTTGGGTTTTTTTAATTAGTAAATATTACTTATATCTAACATAATTGTCATTCAAATTTGTTTTTACATAATATCATTCAAAAGTTATTGTGGTTTTTTAAAAAGTTAATTACTTCTTTTATCTTACCGCTTATAGAATAATTTAAAAGTTAAAAAATGATACAAATTCAGTTTACCAATATCGCTTACTGCTTATGTTAAACAGCTTAAGGCGTATGTAAATTGCTCTACGTGTAACGCTTTTAAACAAGGTCTGTAATATCTATCACTGGATTTCCAGTTCAATGATTTGAGACAATGCAGATGTGTGTGCTGATATTGGAGCATCAATATCTTATCCCTGACACAGGATTCACCGATGTTATTAGTCTTTCTTTCTTATAAAAATCTATTACAGCATAGACAACACATCTCTGTTCAGAAAACACTCTTTGCCTGTTCTTATGTTTCTGAGAGCAGGCTATTATTAACTTATAAGATTAAAATCTTACAGAAAATTTAAATCTAAAATGAAAGTTAGATCATTAGTTATAGTTATTCTGATATGTATTTTTGTACAATCATACAGATCGTATTGTACTAGCATCAATTGTCTCTGTGGTTTAGGGTTCTCCAAATAGACTGTAACAAGCCAGCCATATCACATGATTTCCAACTAACCTAAAAACATTGGTTTTCCGAACCCTCAAGGAAAAATGGACTTTAAAAATGTAAACTGGGGTTTTACATCAAAAATTTAAAAATCTCCAAAATTAAAAAAATTTTATATTGCTGAAATTAAGATCAAGATTTTTTTTTTACTATTACATATGAACTCAGGTGACAACATAGAATGTGAAAAAGATAAGTGCAAAAAAAAATTTTGGGGGGGACATTTTAATGTTGGACACTTTAACTTTTTCCGGATATTTCTTTTAACTTTTAGTTTTTAAGTATTTCCAAAACGTTTTCTGTTAATACAAATTTGAATATATATTTTTGCAATCTTTGTTTTTTATCTTTTTTAGTCATTACCCATACAACAAGCAAGAAAATTAAAAAAAAAAAAAATGACAGTCATCTGCTTAAATCTAAATTAAAACAAATATGGCAAATAAATTCTGGATTTTTTTTGGATTTTTTTTGAAAAAAATTTTTCCAAATTTTTAAAATATCATCTGGATAATCATTGTATGTGTTATTTTGAGTTATTTTAAATTTTTAAATGATACCTTTTTTTTAACATTATATAACATGATTTTGTTATAATATATAAAAGCTGAATGAAATCTGCAATAGTTGTTAAATATTATAAATCGTTTAAATCATTCATAAATAATTTGTAAATAAATATGTTTACTTTTATTAGGCTATACAGGCACACACTCACAGATTAAATCTAGCAAGAAAAAGAAGTAAAAGCATTGATAGTTCTAAACAAGCTCAAAAAAGTAAGTTAAAACTTTCAACAATAACCACAAGGAATCGTACAAAAAAAACAGATTCAAAACCAAACTTAGAAAAAAATGAAGCAGATATTTCATTGCCATGTTTTATATCTGAACATTTCTCTTCTGCTATTGAAAATGGAAATAGTTCTAAAATGGAACAATCATTTACTAGTGATAAGTCTGAATGTCATGAACAAAGTAAAGATATGCCTGAGCAAATGAATGTTTCTAGTACTAGTAGCTCTGGAAGTTTGTCTGGAAAAGTTAGACCAGTTCCTGTAATTCCTGCTTCTATTTTACAAAAAGTAGAAGAAGATATACGTTCTCCTGTAAGTAACCTAATTGTTCTATTATTATAAATAGTTTATTTCTATGATTTCCATTAGTTAATGATTAAAAATTATATACTTACAGTATAATGGGAGTGGAGTGACAAGCTGTTTTATGACTAACAGTTTGAGAAAAATGCTATGTCCTTCAAAAAAGCTTTTAGCTAGTAAAATTAACTGGCAAAGCAAAATATAAGCAAAAATGGTGGCTATTTATATGCTATACATTAGAATGGCTTTTATAACAGCAAAAGAATAGTTTCATTCTTTTTTCTTTTATCAAAATAACATTTTTCTAGGTGTCAGTTTCTCCTTCAGCAGGATTATCAGGAAGATGATCCTGCTAAAGGAGGAACTGACAGCTAAAAAAGAGACAGAAGCTTAAGTTGCATAATTGTTTTTTTACTAATATATACATTATAAAAATAAAAAAAATACAAAGAAATGATAATAAAAGAAAATATTGCTGTCCCATGCCAAGTTCTCAATCAATGTAGCAGCACTCTTTTGTACTGAAACCCCCACCAGCAGGCTATATCAGTGTGACATTGCAAAACCGTGTACTTTGTTTTTATGGAGCAAATTTTTTCCAAATTTTTTTGTTTTATGGAAAGCCTTAATTTTTTAACAAAAAAGTTATATAGCAAAACAATAAACTTACGACTACAAAAGTAATAACAATCTAGTCACTAATTGCATTATAAAAGTAATAACACTTTAGTAGTGATATTACTTTTACAATGTACTTTAAACTTTTATAATTCATACTTTGTTTAAACAACATAAGTAATGCCAAATTTTAATTGAAGTAGAAAAGCATCTTAAAAAAGTATTGTGGATAGAAAGAATAATACTAAAAATCTCAGGAACTTTAATAAATACGTGTTATAAGTCATGTTTAGCATTTCTAAATGTTACTAATGGTCTGTAAAAACACTCATTAATTTTAAAATCAACCAATCAAAACTTTTAATTGGTTGGTTTTAAAAATTATGCATGTTTTTACATACCATTAGTAACATTTTTTGCAATGATAAACTTATTAAAAAGTTTATCACTTTTTATTTTACTTTTTTAAGTGCATATTAGTTTTAGTTTCTAAAGTTTTTAATATTATTTAAATATCCACTCTATTTTTACTAGATGCTTTTCTACTTCAATTAAAAGTTAGGATTACTTTTGTTGTTTGAACAAAGAATGGATTATAAAAGTTATAAGTGAATTATGAAAGTAATAACACTGTTATAGTGATATTACTTTTATAATGCAGTAAGTTACTAGAATGTTGTTACTTTTGTAGTCATAAGTCATTTTGTTTTGTTTTATAACTTTTTCGTTAACAAATTTAAGTTAATTTGCCCCTTGGAAAAAAAGTCATGGTTTTGTATAAACTAAAATTTTGATGATCAGATATTTTTCCAAATATTGCAAATTGCGGTTGTTTAATTTAACCCTTATATATATATACAGGGGCTATTCTAGAAAAATTATTTAAGCGGCGGCACCTCTTTCTACCCCTCCCTGTGCCATAAGGAATTTTTTCAGACGTTTATTGACATTGTCGAAAAGGGTCTAGAATAGCTCCTGATCTTTTTTTATTATTTTTAATTTTTTTCTGATTTTCTGAAAAAACTGTATGAGAATCATAAAAATTTTACAAAAATGTCATCTATATACACTATAGTAGATATAGATATATATCAGTCTTGTTTGCTTTGCCAGCCCTTTCGCACTCAAGCTATTTTAAGCTCATCCACATGCCTGAAAAATTTTTAGAGATTTTGCAACAAATCTTTTATGTTCATCAAATACTTTAATGAAAAAATGAAAAAATATTTTTATTCATGAATTATTCAGAATTTAAGTAAAACATTTATTTTGGTTTTTTAATTTAAATTCTCTTATTTAGAATTTAAATAAAGCATTCCTATCGCTGTTTTTGATGTCATTATTTTATTTAGAATTTAAATGTTTTTTGTTTGTTTGTTTTTTTCTTGCTGTTTTTATTTGTATTATTTTAATTTAGAATATAATTAGTTTTAAATTTTGATTTTTTTTATTATTTTATTTAGAATTTTAATAAAACTTTCCTTTCTTTCTGCTTTTATTTTACTTAATCTAGAATTTAAATAAAAGGCTTGCTTTATTTATTTTATTTTCATTATTTTATGTAGAATTTATTCAAAACATTCTTTTTGCTGTTTTTATTTTAATTTAAAGTAGCAAATATAGTTTATTTTTTAAATGTGTCCCATCAGACAGGTCCCTATTATTATAGACATTAAATTTCTTTAAAATGTCATGTTGAGTCTCAAATAAAGCGAAATTTTATAAAAATTTCAAAAATAATTATTATTTTGTATTTAGATAATTAGTTTGCATTTTAATGCATAAAAACTTTTTTAACATTATTAAAAAAATCCTTTTTTTTTTTCATGGTTTATTTAAAGTCAATTTTTTTTTTAGAGATATTAAAACTTCCCTTAAAATATTTTTTATTCAAAATAATTTTAAATCTAGTATTACTTTTACTGACCCTGCATATCTTTTTTTTTTTTTTTTTTTTTTTTTTTTTTTTTAAGATTATCTTTTATTTATTTTCTCATTTGTTAAGATTTATTTTTTTCAGTTAATAATTTTCTCTAATTTAAATTTTCTCTTAAGTTTAGTTTCTTTTTTTTTTTTTTTTTTTTTTTTTCAGCCCATTTTTAAAACATGAAAATTGTTAAAACATTTAAATAATTGTGTTCAAATTGTCAAAACAAAATCTTATATGTGGGAGATTCCATGTGAAAACCTGATTTTTAAACCACTTAAAGATTTTAGTAAATTATGAACGTCCTGAAAATTTTATCGTCTAATTTCAATCAGTTCCTAAGATATAGCTATTTTAAGTTTGCCTCCAACCAACAAAAATCCGCCATTTTTAAAAATGGTTTTGCTCCTAGTTTCTGTTATATGTGTGTTGGAAAGCTGAAAATTTGTATCTTTACATATTTTGGGCCAACGAATCCAATAAAACAATTTAAAGTACATAGAATTGGAGAGTGGTCTTTTCTAAAACAGAAATAAAAACATGGTCAAATCTACTTAAATTTATTGCTTAAAAAACAAGTATTATGACAAATTAAACAAGAAAAAAAATGTAGTCATTTGACAGTTTTGCAAAGGGGGAGAATTATATAAATGCAGATGTATTGCAAATTTAGTTTTTTTTTTTTCAGAAGTTGTATTAAATAGTTTAGTTTGAGTTATTACAAAGAATCAGATTGCAGTCTTAAATCAGAAATAAAAACATCTTTAAATATACTTAAATTTATTACTTATAAAACATTAGTTTCATATTTATCAAACTTCATTTAATAAACTTAAAAAACAAAGACTCCAAAACAAATAGAGCACTCAGAAAGAAGTTCAAGAAACAAAAGTAAAATTCAAAATTTAAAAATTAAAAACTCAAAAAAATTAAAATTTATTGTGTCATTATCATTCACATCAATGTTATATGTTCGCCCTGATTTTGTTGTTGGGTAATTGATTACTGCAATCAAACTTGACAATGGTACCCAACAGATATCATCTCTTTGTGGCCAAATGAAGTTTTGAGAAGGGCCGTGAGGGTGCATAAACTTAATTTGAATATCATTTGTAATAATATCTATCTCTGTAACCATGGCTATCCACCAAAAAGAATCGTACTTGCATGCAACAAAATCATTTAGATTTGGTAGAATAACAACATCAGACATTACTGCTTTTGACAGTATAAATCTGTTAACACATTGATGTTTGCTTGTTCTTTTAAAACTAATTTCAAATTTAGAAATGGGTATGTAATGATGATAACTTCTGGTACCTGGAACAGTTTTTCCTGTTTCAAATCGCTCCTTGCATTAACTGTTTCTTAGAAAATTTTATAAAATATGATTGTGTTTATATTGGTGATGCACAACTCAAGCATATCATCAACGTAAGTGAGAGGTTCGGAGTTCGACTCCCACCATGTCCCTGGAAGTACCGCGCTTAACTTAATTTCTCCGCACAGCGGCCTTGCTTGTCAAGGCTCGTGTTTCGGAGTTAGAGAGTTGAGAGAGGGTTGTACCACAATTTACAACAAAAAAATAATAATAATTGGGAAAAAAAAAATGAGTAGCCTCCTTGACTGTAGTGGCCCTCTCGGGCCTTGGGGAGGTGAATAATTTAAAAAAAACTGTCTATATTTGGTTTTCCAATGTTCTTTGCAAACTTGCTCTTGCTGTTATTCTTTTAACGGTACCACCTATGCCATCACAAGTGGATTTTCCATGGCTGGTTGCAAAAAATACCCATTCAGCTGTAATCTCGAAATCTTCCTTATGGTGGCATAGATTTATAAAGTTTTTATAATGAGCAGAACATCCATCAGAAAAATTATAAATTTTATTGATACCAACTAAATATTCTTTAATGTACTCTACAATTTTCTTTTGAAATTCATACACAAAGCATGAATCATGATCATGTCATCATTTAAAAAGCAGAATGACTTATGCTGAATATTTGTTTTAGAAAATTCTTTAAAATATATAACAACAGGATGAAGTGTACATTGTTGTTTATTCCAATGATAACTTTGTATTTTATCCTGTGAATCCTTCATCTTGTGTCCAACAAATTGATAGCTCTCTGCAAAATCTGCCTGTATAATACATTCATTGTAACTAAATTATTTTTTAGTTCTTTCAAATTATTTTTTAGTTCTAAATTATTTTTTAGTTCTTTCAAATAGCGAGTTTGGCATTTAGCAATATATGAATGTGAAGTTAGATGATTAATGTAAGAAATAACTAGTTCTTTACATTCAAATAAGTTAACTGATTGAGTAATTTATTGTGATCTATCAGTACTTTGCCATTGGTTGAATTGAATTTCTTCTTCATCAATTAATTCCTTATCTAAAAATGCCTTTAAGTTATCATAACCTGGACATTAGGCACATCTATGAACCATGCATTTATTAT